CCTGCCTCAGTGTTTAACTGGCCTTGTTTGTTTATGTAGCGGTCAAAGTGCTCAAATGTTTTGTTTTATTAATTATTTATTTATTTAAGGTTGTTAAATGTTAAAAATGTAATTAAATGTACTTACTGATGTCCAATTGTCTGGGCGCACATAATCTATGTGTGGGAAACTGTTATTAGTGATGTGTTGATGTATTTGTATTGCTGTATGTTTATAAAGGGTCTCTGATCTATGTGTGCAGGTGTAACTGCAGTGGGATCAGTGCAGTCGGAACCGTCAGTCAAGCTTTCTGAGGGACCATGTTCTAGTGGCTCGTGCTGGCTGCCCACACTCTACCATGAACAATGAGGACGAGTTCTTTGATGCCGTCACAGGTGAGCAAAGGCCAGACAGGAGCGCTTGGTGCCTGATGCCTTTCTGATCCCCAACAGCAGGTGATCAAAGGCAGGGACTGGGGATAAGGCTGCTTTTTGGTGCCGTGTTTTTATGACAGCTGATAAAAAGCTTATTGTGGTGGTAATTCGAACGTTGATATAAACTATAAATTGTTTGGTGAGGAGTGTTATGAGTGTTATTTCTTTAAGGACAGGATTTGCGTGGATCGTGTGTTGCTACCAAGTTGGTGAAATTAGACCTTTATTTTTGGCTTAATAAGTAACTAGAGCATTAGTTATAATCCTGGAGATTTTCCTGGAAATCTCTAAAATTATAACTGCCACCTCATAAGCGGGATGGACAGAGGATTTGACCAGGCAACCCACATAGACAAACTGCCTCAGCCCTCAAGTAACACTTCCAACAACGCCCCCTGTGCTTTGCCTCATTTGTCGCTTGACACTGGCACTGTTGCGCCTTTTGACTCGGGGGCCCCATCAGGCAGTTTGTTTGTTGAGGCAGACTAGTGGAGGACAATGGCCAGGCCACTCTGTATCATCTTACCATTCCTCTGCCCACTGTTTTAATAATGCAGCGGTGGCAGCGACAGCTCCTGTCATTGTCGCATACACGAGAGGAAACCAGATGAAAAGATGACGGATGAATAAATAAAAGGCCGGATCAGGAAGCCGACAACCGTATAAAGTTGATGGGCTCGTTGTGGCGGTCAGGTGATGCCTGATGGCAAAAAGATTGAGATGACCCTGCGTATAATACCCTGTTCGAGTCCTGTTTTGCCCTGAAGTTCCAGCTTTAGTAGCCTTGCTTCTTTTTTTGTTTTCTTTTTTGTGATGGTTTTCTTCACAGATTTAGGCTGGAGGTTTTTGAGACTGAAGTTTGGTTGCTGAGATACTTGTGACACTAACAGATGCCAATTAGGGCATTCTTCCTTTGGAAGCAAACAGAGGGGAGGAGTTTGATTTGAGGTCTATGACTGATGTTTTAAATGGGCTTATCATTATCGGTGGTTTTCCTATGGGAACTCTTCGAAGTTCTGGTGCTGAGAGACCTTAAGCTTTAATTAGCTGTGCGCAGAGAGTCAAATTGCTGGTATTGGTACGTATTCAGTGAGAGTGAATCTAATTCGCAAGCGGTAGGGGTGGGGGAAAAATTAATAATCAGTTTGTTTAATCCATTATAAGGCTAACTTATATCTCTCTGTTGGTATGTCAGGCTTGGATTCAGACGAGTCGTGTGAGGGCACTTCAGAGGCCAGCTTTAAAGATGCTGTAGTGGACCATGGTGCTGAAAAGAACAATGGTACCATACCACAGGAGAATGGAATCAAGAAACGCAGGTACAGTAAGATTCCTGGGCAGGAGTCCTCTTTTCTTTCTCTCTCTCCCTCTCTCTGTTTATTTCTCTCTCTCCCTCTCGCACGTCACCTCAGCCTATCACATTTAAAAAGCTAAACAGACAAATATTTCTTGGCTATCAAATCGTACTATCAGCGTGTAAGATGCTGGTTGCGATAAAAACTATACGCCAGGGTTATCTGGAGTACAGCACTGTGTGTGTGTGTTCTGTGCATGCTAACTTGTGTGTCTCTGCCTTTCAGGTCAGCCCTTCCTGCCCCAATGTTCTCACGAAATAACTTCAGTGTATGGAGCATCCTAAAGAAATGTATTGGACTGGTAAGGATTCAGGCAGAATTACTTGTGACATAAAACCCCAGGGAACCTAAATCCATGCTTCTGAGTAATAATCTTGCACTTGTGGGCACATATTCATGTACAAAATATGTCTTTTGAATTACTTTTTAATTCACAATGAACAGCTGATGTATTTTGCCAACATTCTAGTCTCTCGATATAAACTGGGTGGTCCTGTTCCTGTGTCAGGCGTACATAAGCAGTGTCCCCTCCGATCCGATGTGGGCTTACCGGCCCACACAGCTGTAACAAAACTGTGAACCGTGGACTGAGAGCTGTCAGTATGCAACAGAATATTAGGCCATGCTCAGACAGTTCTCAGATAGGTTTGATCTGCAGTTTTATTTTATATCTGTCTTGTTTTTTTTCATCCGGACTTTGTTGGATGGTTAATACAGGGAGATTCACTCGAAAGAGGCCCTGAATATTCTGTAATAACTCTCTCTTGGAGGAAGCAATCTGAACGAAACAATGTGCAATGAGCTTCTCAGTATATGTAGCTTTGAATAAGCCGGGATGCCGATGAGTAAGGCGGACAGCCTTTAACCTCCGTTAACTTCCAGGTGCAAACCCCTGTACCCCTTCATGTGTCTGGCAGAAAACGGAGATCACTTCCAGCATCGCATGTAATTCAATCGATTACATATACATCAAGCTATGTAGTGCATTTTTTTTGGTTCAGATTGTTTCATCCAAACAGAGTTACAACAGAATTTTTGGGGCCTCTTTCGAGTGAATCTCCCTGTATAACACTAAATTTTACCATCAGCTATATTTTTTTTTGTTTTGTATTCTCTTCAGTATTGACAGTCATACATTTAAGTCTCACGTAACTGGCCAACATACAAAGAATTTTAAGAAAGATTTTCTACCTAAGTCCACAGGGGGCCCAAAGTTTCCGGAATTTGTCCATTTGGTGATGCAGGTCGCAGGTCAGTTTTTCCAAGGAAAAGCCACTGCTCAGCAGTTGATGGAGAGAGACTGGATCATCGAATTAGGATACATATTTTTGCCAGAAATGAAAACATTAGAAACAATAATTTGCCATCAGTATCAAAAATATGTTCTGCTCCTGAGACTGGGCAGGGGCTTCTGAAATCGTGTTTGAAAAATATTTCCTACTGTGATGTGTACTTCGCCCAGAGCGCAACAGTTTTTTTTACATTGCCACAAGGCATGAAAGAACGTTCCTTTTTCTGTTTAACATTTAAAGTGCAAATTTGATCTGTCTGGAAATGTCTTTTGTAGGCGAACAGGTATAAAGTGTGTTCTATTCATGAATTTAAAGTTAAGCTCATGAACACCAGATGAGGTACATGTGGGAAACAGGTTTTTACAAATATTAAGCCTGTCCTCTTCTGAGATAGGTTGGTCTAGGTCCCCTTCCCAGATTTCTCTCAGAGTGTCTGACGAGGGCTTAATACTGTTTAGCATAATGTCATAAATTACTGAAATAGACCCTCTGGCCTGATCCTGCTTAACCAGTAAAACTTCAAGGTTGGTTGATTCCTTTCTGAATTTCCCATCCTTAGTGGTTGAAGTGATCAGATGTCGAACCTGAAGATATTTTAAAAATCTGACCTGGGTGACTGGTATTCTGTGTGAATGATTTAAAACAAACTGTCAGAAAACATAAAAGAAATAGTTTTAATCCCTTTATTAAGCCAAGCTGATAGCCCAGACCTACTCAGCTGGGAAGGTAAGTCCGGGTTGAGGGCCAGAGATTAATTATTAATTCACACAGTGGTTGTTCCCTGGGACTTTAAAGGTATTCCAATGTAGTGTCAACCTGCTGTTGTGGTTGTGACTCTGTTCTGTTCTGTTCTGTTTTGGGACAGGAACTGTCCAAGATCACCATGCCCATTGTCTTCAATGAGCCGCTGAGCTTCTTGCAGAGAATCACTGAGTACATGGAGCACACATACCTCATCCACAAAGCCTGTGCTCAGTCCGACTCCATAGAGAGGATGCAGGTGGGGTTATGTATACATACTGATGCATGACCACACCTATCGCTTTTATCAGAGGGATGTTTAATACATGCTTGTAGGTCAAATGTAGGGCTGTGTGCACGATTCAATGCACACAATATAGTTAAGAATATATAAATACAGTTTTGTAAATATAGTTCTCTGTGCTCAAACTTCCCTGTCTGTGAAAATTGTAGGTGTTTAAATTCATCTACACACACCACCCTGGCTAAAAAGTCAAACATGCTGGGTGTTGGGATATATCTGAGATTCATTTGAACTCACTCTGTCTGTCCCTCCGTCCCTCCCTCAGGTGGTAGCTGCCTTTGCTGTGTCCGCTGTGGCCTCTCAGTGGGACCGAACTGGAAAGCCGTTCAACCCTCTCTTAGGAGAGACCTATGAGCTCACACGGTAAACACTGAACAAATTACCAGCAGACCATTCATTTCAACTAGAGTAAAAGCACCCACAGATGGGATTCCCTGTTAGCTGTTAATTATAGGTGTACACTAGGGGTGGGGGAAAATCGATTCTTTGATGCATCGCTTTGCGGATGTGGACGATTCTGAATCGATTGACAAATGTCAAAAATCGATTTTCTGAATTTTAATTTTTAACATAATGTTGATGGAACGCAAAAGGCGGAACTTGGAAGTGTGGAAGTGCAGCGCCCGGACAGTTTGTGGCAGCACATAACGAAAACACAGCTGGATGAGCGAGAATTCCGACCGGCAGTGTGTTTCAGTATGTGATAATGTCCTAGTATAGGTTAAAAAATATCAGTGAAAACACAGACTTACTTTGCTCTGCTTCAAGCTTCAGCTATAGCTGCTTTCCTCCCATCTCCGGCAACTTTTCGTCAAAAGTTGAATAGTTTCTTGTAAAATGTCTCTCAACATTCAACTGTTTTACGAGGCTGAGGTCGCTTCTTATTCGCCAGCTTCTTGTTCGAATTTTTCTGTTCCATATTACGTTTCCACCCGGACCTTCGAGCAAGTGATGTCAAAGCCTCCACCCAATTCAGAAGTGAATTACAAATTCTATTGCAACTTTTATTGTCAAGGATTTGCGTCTGTTCTCAGGCGTTGAGATCCAGGGCTTTCGCGCTATGTTGCACACTTTAGAGCTGAGATACAGCGTCCCGTCCCGTCCCCCCCACAACAACACCAAAACCGAACATGCGTTGCGTTGACACTGGATCTTATGTCACCGTAACTGTGCATTTTATCACAAGTGAGTGGCAGCAGCATCTCATGTGCTCCAAACAAGAGAAGTGAATGAGAGGCTTCCAGTTCACTTGCAACATCACTTCCATTTGTTTTATTAAATAAAAGATATTGGAAGTAAATTCCTTATGGATCATTACAAGTACTTTGCTTTAAAAGTACCAAATCCTCACACAGTGAGAAAAAAGAAATCCTATATCGGAAAAAAAGATGCATCGATAATCGTTTAAAAAATCACGTCGCAGCCTCTGAATCGTAATTGTAAACGGATTGAATCGTGAGGTGCCAAGAGATTTTCACCCCTAATGTACACTGCATTGTCTTAGATGGATCTATCTTTAGAAATGTTCAGGCTTCTGCTTCCGTGGGTGAAATGAGATCTTCGATTTAGCTTGCTTTGCTTCTGTGGTCTCCTGAGCTCCTACACTTTGCTTCCTTTTAATCTAGAACAGGTTCCTGAAGCAAGCCTTAATGTCATGATGTTATTTTGAGGTTTTCAACGCTCGGTTGTTGGTTTAGATATCTGTTAGTTTGCGTTACTGATGCAATATCTCTTCCTTCCTTTTTCTTCTTCTTGTTCTTTTTCTCTTCGCTGTCTGTCCTCTGTCTTTTCCTCAGGGAGGATCAAGGGTTCAGGTTGATTTCAGAACAGGTGAGTCACCACCCACCCATCAGTGCATTCCACGCAGAGGGTCTGTCCCAGGACTTCCTGTTCCACGGCTCTATATACCCCAAGCTCAAGTTCTGGGGCAAGAGTGTGGAGGCAGAACCCAAAGGAACCATCACATTAGAACTCCTGAAGTGAGTAATAATTCTGGTTAGTGTGTCGTTGGTTTTCCCTTAATTTCCTTAATACTCACTGTTGATTTAAGAGAGCCAACAAAGTGTGTGAGGCCTTGGGTGTGTTTGCTGAGTGTCTTGAGTGGGTCTTTTCCTGAATGAGTCAGGATATCGAGGTTTGGTTTCAGATGAAGGGCTCGGGGGTTGCTGGGTAACTGGCTGGTCACATGCTGACATGTGGATTGTGTGTGTGTGTTTGTTCCTTGCAGGCACAAAGAGGCATACACATGGTCGAACCCTTTCTGCTGTGTACACAATGTCATTGTGGGCAAACTGTGGATTGAGCAATACGGCACGGTAGAGATAGTCAACCACAGGTAGGCCAGCCATGCCGGTTAATTGATTAAATTTACAGTGTTGTGCAAAAGTTAAAGATCAATCAAGATTTATTTAATTTCCCTTCAAAGCGGCTGTTCAGTTATCCATTTTTCATTTTTGGGAAAAAGACGCAAACATATATTTAACACATAATTACAAAGAAGCCTAAATAACTAAACATTTTTAATTTTTTTAATTTTATGTAGTAGCCACCTTTCGCCTTTATCACAGCTTCCATTCTTTTCTGGAACCTTGCTTCCAGTCTGTCGAAGAAACGTGCAGGAATATTTTTTCTCACCGCCAAAATTCAGTCTTACGCTGCATTTACACTGTTCCGGCGCATCGACGGACATGAATGCACTCCCCCTCTTCAGCTGGCCGCATGTCGTCCAATTAAATCATATCCTGCTAAGTCAAATTTTAATTAATAAATGTACTGATTTTCTAATAATCGAAAACCAAATTTAGTGTGTTTTTAATTTTTATATATACATTCATATTTTTATATATATATAAATGATATAATGTCTAGGTTTAAGATTGTTTGGAGCTTTTCCTCCTTGCTCCACCGGAACGTTTGAATACGGAACGAATGTTTCATGCATTGCGTTGTGAACATGTATCGCACAAACACCAGCTATCTTCTGATTGGATAGACGCATCGCGTTGACCGGATTAATCTGCATAAAGTTTGTCTCGGCTTAACTTTTCGCCGCACCGCATCCCCCAGACTCGACGCGCTGGACCCATCATGCACTGCGTGGCTGTGTCTCGTGGAACCAACGCTTTCCATTGAAAATGAATGGGATACGTTGTGGTGCGTCGACGCGCCGGAGCAGTGTAAATGCTGCCTTGGACGTTGGTTGATTTTCTGCTGCTCATGATGCAAGATTTAGAGTCCCCCGTCCATAAAAGCTTACTTCATGTTTCAGATGTCCATTTTCAGCGCTCTAGTGCAATTTTTCATCTTTTTTCTTTTCTCATTAACGGCTTCTTGACAGCTACACATTCTTTCAGACCCACAGTGTTGAGTTGTCTTGTCAGAGTGGAAGGATGGACAGAAACACCTGTGTATTTTTTCACATCTGTAGCAAGAGTGGAGCTTGATTTTCTCCTATCATTCAAACATGAAAGCCTTAAAGCAGCGTTATGCTGGGGTAGGGCTCCCCCTACAGTTGCGGAGTGTAATTCACTTTTACACCACTGTCGTAAATACAGATCATGCATTAAGCCCCCTTCGTGGACAGCTGTACATGTGCACTTATTGACAAACTGAAAGATATAGAATCCGACACCTATTTGTGTACATGTGCGCTGCGCAGGGATATGGACGCTACAGATTGCGCTCGTGGTTTGGGTTGTTTCTGTGTACACAACCAAAGTCGTGAGTGTGATCTGTAGTGTCTGTATGCCTGTGTGAGGTGTGTGCATGAAAAGGGGAGTTGGATTCTGTCAGGTTACAGCCTACGTAGCAATCTTTTGGGATGTACACACCATTAGCTGTGAGATAGAGGGGTAGGGTGAAGTGTTGGGGCTACATGACCCTCCAAACGGAGGTTTTTCAGAGACTCCAAACGGAGTGTTATCAGAAGAAAAGAAAAACCAGCGAGACGGAGAACAAGAGACCAGAGAAACCCACAAATGTGAGAATTTTGTCCGTTAAAAATTCCAATAACCATCTTATTATCTTAGTTTAATGTTGTTTCATTATGGTCGTTTTCTCATAACGACCATAAAAATTGCTGGTAACATGCTGATGTCTCGCTGGTAAATATCTGACTTCAGCTTCATATCACTGAAGAATTAGGGGTGGGTGATAATAAATAATTGCCCCCCTCTTTGAAGATCATATGATGCCCTAAATGTAACTAAAGCCCAGCAGTGAGGAGCTGAACTTTACCCTCCTCTGCTGTCACTGCAGACTGGCAGGGTCGCCTACAGAGCAGCGCTGGTAGCTGTTAATGAAGTGATGCTCTTTTTATTTGAGGGTCCCATTTCAGAGGGACGATTTCAGCCACTACCCTGTAACTCAGTTCCTAAGGGGTTAGGTGACACTAAAAAACAAGGGGTAGGGGTAGAAATAAGAAATGGGATTAGGCCTTACTCTTGTCTGATCTCTCACTCGGTCACTCTCTCTTTTTCTTTTCCGCGCTCCCTCCGATAATGTCTTCTTCAGTCTCTTCACAGTTTCTACCACAGTGTCCATGCTGGAAATACCGAGCTGCTGCTTCTAGCCAGCTGAAGAACCGTAGTTATAGGTGTTTGATGTGGTGCTACTAAGTGTTGCGCAGTTCTTGCAAGAGGTTTTGTGCCAGCTCCTCCGATTACATAGTGCTGTAGCAGGAGTTCCAGGCACATCAAAATGATTTTAAAGCTGTTTTTTTAATATGAAGTTGTTACCTAAAGTTCAGTTCTCTCTCCAATTCTCTCTATTGCTTTAATTTTTTCTAAATCTAATTTTGGATTTTTTTTATTTTTTAAATCTAGTCTCCTCAGAAATATCTCCTTTAGCCATTGCAGACGCACCAGAAAGAAACTTGAGCATGTTGTTATAGTTCATTGGGTCAGTGTTAGTGTCTCTTTAAAGGGTAGCATAATATCAGAGACACCTTTGGGAACAGCTTTTGTTGGAGGACACTAAACAGATAAGAATGGAAGAGTAATGGAAGTGGCAGAAGGGTGCACAGAAGTAAAGAGTGGAAAAATTATACGCCGACAGATTTGATTGTTAAGGCTTTTGTGTAATTCTTTGTTAAATAAATGTTTAGTCTTTTTTTCTGAATGAATAACTACTTAATGGCCGTTTTAACTGGAATTTAAATCAATGAAAGGGTGGTCTCTTACTTTTGCACTTAAATGAGTTTAAAATGAGCATACCATGGATATAAAAAAGAAATAATAACAAGATAACACAGCTTAATTCCATTGTGGTTTCAAGGGTACGGATTCAAACTGTGACATTTCAAACTGCAATAATGCCTCAATAAATATCAGATGACCATAATTAAGTGGGAGTTGCATTGTGGGCCTAATGGTGTGTGATGTAATCTCTTGTTTGCTGTGGCTTCTGAATGGACAGTACTGGAGATAAATGTGTGCTGAACTTCAAACCCTGTGGGATGTTTGGCAAAGAACTACACAGAGTGGAAGGCTACATCCAGGACAAATGGTGAGAGCCTCTGACCCTTAACTTTTGACCTTGAATCTGGTGCCTGACTTCACTCTGACCATAAAGTTGTCTGTTATTGGTTCTACTGGACGTACAGTTTACACTATAGATTTAAGTACCACTAAATCCACAGTTCAGTTCAGTTAAGCAGTTTAAGTGTTAGGCTCAAGTAGGGCTGAACGATTTGGGGAAAATATCTAATTTCGATTTTTTTTCTGACTAATATTGCAACTGCGATTTTTTTTTTTATTTATTTATTTTTTTATAAATATTCATTTCGACCTGATTAATTTTGGCCAGGAAGACCAGCATATCCACCTTTTCTGGCTTGAGGCTCGACCCCTGAATTTAGTGCGTCAAACTGCCAGTAAGTTGTGGTTGTGATGTCGCAACACACAGCGGTTTGGTTGCCTCTGATCGGTCTAACTCATCTATAAGCATTTTACAAGCTCTTATTAGGTTCAGTTTCCCCTCTTAAAACCTAAAACAACATTTTTGCTAATGCACACGCTTAAAAATGATGGTTCTTCAAGTTCTATATAGAACCATAAACACTCAACAGCCCATTTGCATGCTTATAAATGGTTCTTCAGATTGATGGAGAATGTCTTGTGTATGGTTCTATATAGCACCTTTTTTGAAAAGGGTTCTTTATAGCACCAAAATGATGTACATAGTAGAACCCTTTTTGGTTCTGTCTAGAACCCTACACAACACATTCTTCATCAGTCTTAAGAACCGTTTTACCATGCACTTTTTAAGCATGCAAATGGGTCATTCAGTGTTCTTGGTTCTATACAGAATGACTGTCTTTACTAAAGAACCATCTTTTTAAAGAACTTTAAGACTGTAAGCTATAATTAATTTGAAAATTGCGATTTTGATATAAAAACAATGAATCTTTCAGCCCTAACCTCCTCTCCCATTTTCGCCCATGCAAAAGAAAGAGTCATTGAGTTTGTTTGTGGGTGTGTAAGTGATGTCAGCCATATCCCTGTCTATCAGTGCAAAGACCATAAAACAAATAAGATATTAACTTAATCGCTGTCGTGCCATGCTGTTTGTCTACTTTTGTATCTTTCCCAAAAGTGACAAGTAAACATGCTTCACCACTGTTTCTGTACTGATTTTAATAGGTGTAATTGGTATAGTGATTTAAAGCTGTAATCACAAGGGTTACCAGTCCTTGATTAGATTCTCAGATTTGATTACCAAACATCCTGTGCGTTACATAAGACATGTGACCCGGTGTCACAGTGCAAACTTGCACACATGTACTTCTGCTCAATAATGAAGGCTAATATAACACTAATAAAGGCTAATATAACACTAATGAAGGCTAACAAAACCTCGCATCTCCAAAATGGTAACTTTACAAGAGAAGGAAAAACATACTTTACTTTTAATGTAAGTCAGTGGAAAAAGACTTTTTTAATTTCAATTAAAATCAAAAGTCATTTTGGGTCGTTTATTTTGGTCCATTCATCATGAAATTTACACACAATGTAAAGGAAAACAGGCATTTTAAAATGTCAAAAACTTAAACATTAAAAATGGAGATACAAGATATTTCCTTCCGGCAGCAGCGATATATATTTATGTTATGATATTTATGATGTCTTTGGAGTGGACGCGTTTTGTAGATTGTAGTGATTCTTAATGCCGCTGGTGGTAAAGTTTTTGTACAGTATTCTTTTGCCTTGTGTGTGTGAGACAGTAAGAAGAAGCGCTGTGTCATCTATGGAAAGTGGACAGAATGCTTGTGGAGTGTGGACCCACAGGTGTACGAGTCCCATCGCAAGAATGATAAGAGAGGAACAGCAGACACCAAGAAACAGAAACCGGTAAGTATATCTGTACCTTCAAAGGTTTTTGCTACTTTCCAAGATCCACATGGTCTAATTAAACACTTAACACAAGTTAGTCGTTTATCACAACCATTCAGAGCCGGTCCTGACCTCCCTGGGGATCTCCTATCTGACTGTGACCCATGCAAACCATTTTACGGTTCCACCTGACTCCCCAGTGCTCCCACTACATTCCTCCCTGCTTTAAAACCATTTTCTCTGTCTGTTGGTCTAAGAGTAATTAGACCCATACAGAAGAGAATGAGGTATAAACAAGCAATAGTTATCAAGCAATTAATATTTACTTCCCCACTCACAAACTTAAGCATTATTATTATTATTATTATTATTATTATTAATTTTATCAGCTGCATCAGGACCACTCAAATTGACTCCCCTAGATTTTCATATATAAAATACTGTTTATAATATGGTTTGGCTGGATACTTAGTTATTATTTACTGAGAAATGTGCATCCATATTGCCCAGTATGCCCAGATGATCAACATTTTTAAATTCAATATTTTTAAATAATCAATAGTCTGTGTCAATCCACTACTTTTTACTTTGCATTAGTCCAGAGTTGTAACTAAAAAATTGTGTGCGTATGAGGAGCGTGCCATCACGCCCATCTGTTGTCTGGACTGGTCTTCACAGAGGTCGCTGCTGCAAAGTGCATGTTTTATTTTGTGCTTGCACATATGACCACATGTTTACATGCAACACATTTTGTTGCCGTTCATCAAACATGGTAAATAGTTGTATTTCACTTTCACTTTTGTGATGCACAAGGTCACAGAACACAGCCCTGCGGCGTGGTCACCAAATGTATAGTTTCACTTTATCCTCTCAGTAAACATCCTTAACAAGGAGAAGGCAAGACCCTTGCATAATTTGCAGGACCCTGTGCAACATTTTGTATTGAGCTTATTCTAGCGTTTCAGTCTCGTGATTTTTCTGTTGTGGCTGCCATATTTGGGACCAAATTTCCGGCTTTGCTGCTTCGCATGAACGTAACTAGAGGTGAAAGATGGCTAAAATTACTCTCCTTACTTTGGAAGAGAAAAAACGTTACCTTGACGAAGTTGATAAAACAGGCTGAGATCTTTATACAGTTTCCCCCTGAACTCCTGGTCCCACTTAAACTGACATAAAGCTACCAAATCTGTGTTTTCCTGATGTTTATATTTATCTCACACACAACCCCTCTCCCTATTCTGGAAAGTCTCTCAAAGCATTTAACAGCACAGAAGCCCACCGGCTCTTCACGTCAGGGTGGGTAAAGGATCCCGTGGTGTTGCATAAAGAGGAGATGAACTCTGTGATCATAGGAGGGTAACGACACCAGCTAATTAACACAGATGTGATCAATGCTGGCCTTTAGATAACTTTAGCTGATGTTATCAGCCGAGAGATAAACAGTCGTCCCCCTAACGGAGCTGCAGACCGCCGGTATAACTTTACTCTCTGTTTCTGATTTAAATGACGTTTGAGTGGAGAAACATAAGTGTTAAATATCAGACTGAATGTCGTGGGTCGGAAACTACGTCGTGTTTCAACAGACGTGATTCTGTAAGTTTGCTGGTGCAGTTAGTTCAGAGTTTAGCTCCAGTCCTGCAATCCCTGCACAGCATAACTGTGGTTTCCTGGTTAAAATACCTGATATTATCAGCTAATTAATCCCTTCTTGAGCTGAACGAGGTGTGAACAGCAGAGTTGGCTGAATAATTGCTTTAACAAAGAAAAAACATTTGTGGGGGGATTGGAATTGATGTATGATGTATTTGTGTAATGCATGCTGGGAATCGTAGTGAAATAACATCAGTGGAAAAAAACTACAAAATCATGAATTCTCTCAAACAGATGAGGCAGTGCTTTAATGTCAGTCATAGGGTAGGTTTTTAAGATGGACCTGAACCTTTCTTGTGTGTCAGCCCTAAGTGTTTGATAAGTGTGCACTGATTGTTGACAGTGGCGTAACCAAACATTTGACAAATACCTATAAAATGCATGACTTGCCCCTGACTTATGTCATCACTATCCTATGGCACAGTGAGTTACAGTAGGTGCGAATGTTACTGAGAACAACAGAAAAAGTAGGTTTGGAGCAATAAACTTGCTTTACAATGCGCTCACTGAATCTCCCGTCTACCAGCAGTGAAGTTAGAAGTAGACTTGTCAGATTCTTTCACTGTGCAACTACGCTGAGTAATGCTAAAGGCACTCTAAGTGTTAAGGGTCAATGACCTGTAAATGAAAACTGGTCATTCCAGGGCAGAACTGCAGCAGCATGTGTCATTGAGTATGTGTAAACAGGAGTGGCTTTGATACTGTACACACATGAAGGCTGCATTGACATTCCTTTGTTCTAGTGAATTTGCACTGTGTGTCTTCTGTTAGCGTTTATTATTCTTTTTTCTTTGTTCTTTTGTACGTGCTTCTTTATCTTGGTTTCTTGTTTATGTAAGGCCCTGTCCCATTTCTTATTTTTACCCCTGCCCCTTGTTTTCATCACAACGGGTAGTGGTTGAAATCTTCTCCTACAAAATGGGACCTTCAAATAAAAAGAGCATCACTTCATTAACAGCTACCAGCGCTGCTCTGTAGGCGACCCTGCCAGTCTGCAGTGACAGCAGAGGAGGGTAAAGTTCAGCTCCTCACTGCTGGGCTTTAGTTACATTTAGGGTATCATATGATCTTCAAAGAGGGGGGCAATTATTTATTATCACCCACCCCTAATTCTTCAGTGATATGAAGCTGAAGTCAGTTTTCTGTTCTCCAGGGTCTTTTTCGAATTTTCCCGTTCCACCTTAAATGGAGCAGCAGTTACATTCTGGCGCTTCAGGCGTCAGAACTGCTGGACTATTTAAGGTGGAACGGGAAAGTTAGCAAGCTGGCTACCGAGACATTAGTATGCTATTAGCGATTTGTTATGCTTGTTAAGAAGAAAACGACCAAAATACACTGAAACTACATTAAACTAAGATAAAACAGTGGATATTGTGATTTTTAACAGAGTAAATTCTCACATTTGTGGGTTTCTTTGGTCTCTTGTTCTCCATCTTGCCGGTTTTTCTTTTTTTCTTATAACTCTGTCTGGAGTCTCTGAAAAACCTCAGTTTGGAGGGTCATGCAGCCCCAACACTTCACCCTAAAGTTTTTTCTTAAATTTGTTCTTGAGAAAGATCCTAAAAAAGTAAACTGCAGAATTAAACCGCAGGTTTGTTCTCACCTTTGTGCTCTTGAGTGTGTGTAGATTCTGTTCTTACCTAAGAACAAATCCCAAATAAGAAAACACTGGTGACTAAGTGACCAGTATATGTAGGACCCCGGTGACCAGAACTTATGTACAATTTTTTATGACCTACCTTTTTATTTCCTCTCCTCTCGGTTAAAGAATACGCTTCCGCTTTCGTAGTGTAAATAGTTTTTAAGGAGCTAATTTGAAGGGAAAGTCAGAAATGTATGTTTTTAGTTGGTACCCCCCCCCCTTTTTTTTTCTTTTCCTCTTCCTCTATAATGATTATTGATATTGACAGTATTATCCAAATATGTTTATCATAAGAAAAACAAAGGTCAGAAAAAGAGGATTGTGTGTATGAAAGCATACAAGCATTGAAAGTAAAGCAGCTGAATAGGATCATAATGGATCTGTCCTTAGATAGTCATGATTGTGGTGCGAATTGAAGCACTGTTACAATTGTTTGATATAATGTTAATTTTCTATTTTCTTCTATGTTCTTTTCAAAAGACTTCCCCCAATAAAAAGAAAACACTGGTGAATATCAGAATCCTCGTGAAATCTGCAGAAGTGGGTTTTAAAAATAAATTTCTGCTTAAAAACAGTCGGTGGAACAGCGTCCTGTGCCCAGCTCAGCTTAATTCAGTTTAAAGTTCTTTACCGTATTTATTACAGTAAAACTAAATTGGAAAAAAAAAACCCTAATGTTTGTGATACATGTGACCGTTGCTGTTCTGCCAGAGCCAGTCTGACCCACATGTTCTGGACGTGCCCCAGATTGTCAGAATTTTGGTCAGCCATTTTTAAATTCCTGTCTGATGCGTTCAGAGTGGAGATACAGCCTAGAATAGAAACGGCTGTTTTTGGTGTCCTAGGAATTTAGTAAATGGTACAAAGAGGGACTTTTGCCTTTGCAACTCTCCTAGCAAGGAGAAGGATTTCATTGAACTGGAAGTCAGCATTCCCACCTAAAGTTTCACACTGGCTCAGCGAACTCTTGCTATTTCTTGAATTAGAAAAGATTAAATATTCACTTAGGGGGTCAAAAAAATTGTGGGAGCCTGTGTTATCACACAAAATCTACAGACTCTAGCTTTAGACTAAATAAAACAAAATATTGCCAGTATTTTAAAAGTACATTAGGAAAAGCTACGACACTATATGATACTGTATTATCAAACACAGACTAAAGTGTGAATGTTTACAGTGTTATCCATCATTTTTATTTTATTATTAGTTATTTTTTCTCTTTCTTTTTAAAAATTATTTTACTCTGTAATTATGTATGCATGTATTTGTTTATAATTTATTTATTTAAATTTGTATAATTAATGTATTCTCTGTTTTAATATAAAGGCAGTTTTGGTTTGGTGTGAGGGAGGTGGGAGGAAGGTGCAGTGATTTTTCATTTGTATGTATGTAAAATACCTGTTCACTTCAATAAAAATATATATCAAAAAACAAAACAAAAAAAACGTCGGTGAATGAGGCCCTTTGTTTTCGGAACAGAAACTTCATTGCTACAGTGGTTTGAGGTGAACATGGTGTGTTAGAAGGTAAAAATATATAAGCTGCGCTTTTAAAATTTGTGAAGTGTAATGCAGATGTCAAGTTGGTTGAAATGATTGAAATGTATGCACTGATTTTGTTCGAGGCAACGTGTATGAAAAGACTCTTTTCTTTGGGTAATATATTTGCTCTGAATCCGTTAATGTGAAGGGGGAGGATGACGCTGTTATTGTGAAATGCGTATGTTCAGGAAGAGTCAGAGGTTGCGGAGAATGAGGATGCGGATGACATGCCGGAGGTACAGGAGACTGTAGCTGTGATTCCTGGTAGCACTCTGCTGTGGAGAGTATCATCTAGACCATCTAATTCAGCGGAGGTCAGTACACAAGTATTTGTTTTTTGCGTAGCCTGGGTTTTATACTTTATCCTGTTGACTCTTGAATGTGGAAAACCAGTTGCTGATTGTGGCCTTTAACAGATGTACAACTTCACTAACTTTGCCGTCATGCTGAATGAATTGGAGCCTGGCATGGAGGGAGTTTTGGCCCCGACAGACTGCCGCCTACGGCCTGATATCAGAGCCATGGAGAACGGTGACATGGGTAATGAAATCGTTCTTGTGCCTAGATCTATAAGCAGTACGACAGCGCCCTCTGGTGCTCTCTGATTAAAAGACAGCTTTCAACCAAAGATCTGTTTTTCTTTTCATGCAAAACGATGCTTTTAGAGGTAAAGTGACTGCATTTGCATGTGCATGTGTTTAGATGAGGCCAGCAGAGAGAAGGAGAGGCTGGAGGAGAAGCAGAGGGCAGCTCGTAAAGAGAGAGCCAAGAACAATGAGGAGTGGTCCACCAGGTGAGCACTGAGCACACTTACACTACCTACTGTGAGGCTTTTGTGTGCACTCACTGAGGGCATTCATTATTATTGTTGCTCTTTTAATATAATGTACGTTTTGATTATTTGAAAAGTGTCAAAATAAAATATACACAACTAAAATATAAAAACTAGTATACATAAAAATTTACAGGCAGTTAAACAGATGACAGATTTAGGGGAAAAAAACAGAAATGTTGTTAGCGTTGGGCCACCACATGACGCCAGAACAACTTTTATGAGGCTTGGCATAGATTCTACATGTCTCTGGAACTGTACTGGAGGGGAAAAACACTTTTCGTCCAAAAGATATTCCCTCAACTGGTGTTTGGATGAGCGCTGTCTACCACGTCAGTCCAACATCTTGCATAGGTGTTCAACTGGGTTTGAGATCAGGGGCTGTATTCCAGAAACTTCATATCTTTTTGACAGGTCAAGATAAGATTTTTTACAAATTCATAACACAGAAGCAAATCTTATCTTAATTTAGGAGTCTTATCTTATACAGCATCTTATCTCAAGTTAGGAAATCTTCACTTACTCGATTGAAGTTGACAATCAGCTGTCATGTCTGTGTCTTAGCAACCGACCATACACACACAGCAGAAACGTAACCACATAGCTGCCTGACTAACTTGACTAACGTTAGCTACCGTTACTGATGTAAAAAAGGTCAAAAGAAACTAAAGCGTGATAAACTGAGAGTGAAGAATATTGTGTCAGCGCCCCCTGCTGGTTATCAGTGTCGCCGCTCCCCAGTTTCAGTCTCCATTTCTCAAACGCTTTAGCCGAGCGCGCTAACGTTACTCCTCCTAATAAACAGACACACGTTCAGCTCCGTCTCCTCATTATTCTCCACCATCACTGTAATATTTCATCATCAACATTAACACACGAAGGTGATCAGAGGGGCGGTGGAGATCGAGTCTGCAGCGTCTGAGATCTTTAAAACGCTGTTAGAGGGAAAAAAACCTCAAGTCAAAGCAGCGTTTTCAGAGTAGATGGATGTAGCGTCATTTAGGCTTGTTATAGTGAACTATGCTGCCTGTTACTGAGTTTATCTTAAAGTTAGGACAGTATTTAGGAGGTTTAGTCTAGTTAGGATGTTTCTGTAATACTGTTTTCTTATCTGGAGTTAATGATGAGATTATGAACTTAAAAACTGTTGTTCTGTAACAGCTTCTGTCCTAAATTCAGTAATAGCTTCTGTCCTCAATTCCTAACTGAAGTTGTCATGGTGGCCAAACAGATAGGATAAGATTTCAGACTTATGAAGTTTCTGTAATATGGCCCCATGAAGGCCACAGTAGTTTATTTTTGTCATTTTCATACTCATCAAACCTTTCAGTAACTCCTTGTGCCCTGTGGATGGGGGCATCGTCATCTGGGAAGAAACCAGTTTCTTCATACTGTGAAGCTTTATAAATAATAACTTTGTATTGAGTTGCAGTGACCCTTCCTTCTACTGCAGGGGTCGCAATCCAAATGTCAAAAAGAGCCATTTTGTCCTTTCAACAAAAATCAAACCACCTTGGGAGCCACATTTTACATCCATTTTACTGTCTTGTCTGTAAATATGTCTCAGTATGTGCTAATGTGCTAGTAGAGGCTAACAAATTCAGTATAAACGAGAACGCAGACTTGCTCTGCTTTAAGCTTTAGCTCAGCTATCGTCGCTTTTCTCACATCTCTGGCAGGAAACTTTTCCTCAAAAGTAGAACAGTTAACAAAAAAAGTAGAACGCTCACAAAATGTCTCTCAGCGATCGCTTTTTGCGAGGCTGAAGTCGCTTCTCATTCTCCAGCTTCTTGTTCAGATTTTCCTGTTCCATCTTAAATGGTGCCTGAGGCACCAGAATGTACCTGCTGCACCAGTTAAGGTGGAACGGGAAAATTCGATCAAAAAACTGACTTCAGCTTTAGTGTTAGTGTTTGACAGTGTCTCGTTGCAGATTAAACGTATCAGGAAACCAGCTGGAGTGATTATGAACGCAAATAAGTCCATTCGTCTCTAAATTATGGATGTTCGTCTTAAGTGTCTCTCTTTGCCGTATCGTTAGCCACTAGCTAGGCAAGATTGTTGTTGTTGCTATGGTGACCAGCAGTTTGCTCGCCAGTCTTCAGGGTTAAAGGGTGAATTAGCAGATATAGCTTAGATCAGCTCAACCATTTACTGTTAAACTGTGTTGAACGATCAGCAGAGCTTTATTTTACTGTAAAGGAGGATTATTTTATTTATACCTACAAATCTGATTCAGCTGTGGAGCCACAACAGGACAGCAGAAGAGCCGCATGTTGCCGACCCCTGCTCTGAGGGGACAAGCAGATCCCTCACAATATAACAGAGCCACCGGACCCCCTCACTGTAGGGGTCGAATATTGAGGCCTGTACTGTTCACTTGGTCTATGCCACACAAGCACTTGCCCCCTTGTGGAGGATATGGTGAAGGATCATCTGACCATATCACCTTTTTCCACATCTCTGTAGTGCCTGTAGTTTTTGCACCACTGAACTCTTAGATTCCTCTTTATAATTAGTGGTTTATGCACTGCAGCTCTGCTCTAACGTACCTCTCTAGTGTGGATGGCCTGTTCTCGCTGATACAGTCTGATCACGTCTTCAGTCAGCTGAGGAACAGCTGCTGTTCTGTTCTTCTTCCTTCGGTCCAGTGCACAAGCATCCCAGTCACTGAATGTGCGCTTTTGACCACTGTTTCCCTCACAAAAAATCCTTCTATTGCAGCAGTACAGAGTACAGTAAAGAGCATAACAACAGCAAAATGAACAGGAGCAAAGTATTGCCGTACACTATTCACAGATATATAAAAAGGAAGCAGAGATAAATAATAGAATAAAATATACTAAAACTATAAACAATAAGAGTAATGTGCAGTACAAAAATACAAAGTAATTGCATGAATATTAAGCAGGAGACAGTGCGGTGGTGCCTGTCCCTCCAGTGAATGAACTGCTGACTATGGACTGTAGCAATAAATGTTAACAGTTGTACAGTTTACCTTTAACAATTTGACATTCATGGATGCATAAACAAAGTGACAGTGCAATGTGCAATAATAGTGGTCAAATAAATAAAGTGGCAGTGCAATATGAGATACGATACACAAAATAAACAAAATAAAATAAATAATAAAATAAAATAAAAATAAAATAAGTATAATTTACACTTGTCCATGCTTAACGACAGCCTGCAGGACCAAATATACTTTGGGACTGAAAGAACCAAAGACGTTGCAATAAAGACAAACAGTATTTCTGTAAAAATTATCTCTCATCTAATAAGAGTATGTAGTGTATGTTCAATCCACTGTTTACTCCCACACTCATTAGAGCTGAAAGTGCAAGTCTGAAAGGGGGTCTAAGTTGCTGTTCTGTGGCTAAGCAGTCGGAAACTGTTCGCTCCAATGGCTAATTATAGCTTTGCTGTGCTGCTCATTAAAAATTTCGAGGTGTGTTTTTAAGGTATTTTCTGAATAAGGCTGCATTTATTTAGGTAAACTGGATATCTACAGATTTGTCTGTGACATGTTGGCCTCTTATTCTCCAGCTTCCTTTTCAAATTTCGTTATTGGGACATCCACTCATCACACCTACAGGAGCTTTTATGAGTCCCATTCTAAATCCATAAGCGTTAATATGGAGTTGGTCCCCCTTTGCAGCTCTAACAGCTTCCACTCTTCTGGGAAGCTTCTACAAGATTATGGCGATTATCTGTGGGATTTTGTGTCCATTCATCCAGAAGAGCATTTGTGAGGTCAGACACTGATGTTGGACGAGAGGGTCTGGCTCATAATCTCCGTTCTAGTTCATCCCAAAGGTGTTTGATGGGGTTGAGGTCAGGGCTCTGTGAGGGCCAGTCAAGTTCTTCCATGCCAAACTCACCCAGTCAGGCCTTTATGGAGCTGCTTTGTGCACTGGGGCTCAGTCATGCAGGAACAGGAAAGGTTCTTCCCCAAACTGTTCCCACAGATTTTCCTTCACTGGAACTGAGGGTTCTAGGCCGACCCCTGAGAAACAACCCCATAGAATCATCCCTCCTCCACCAAACTTTACAGCTGGCACAGTGCAGTCAGGCAGGTAACGTTCTCCTGGCAAACCCAGACTCATCCATCAGACTGACAGATGGAGTTTCCACTACTCCAGAGTCCAGTGGCGGCGCTTTACACCACTCCATCTGACGCATTGTGGCATTGTGCTTGGTGATGTAAGGCTGCATGCAGCTGCTCAGCCACGGAAACCCTACCATGAAGCTCCGGGCGCAGTTTTTGTGTTGATGCCGAAGGAGGTTTGAACTCTGCAGTTATTGATCAGTGTTGGTGTCTTTTATGCTCTGTGCTCCTCAGAACTCAACACGCTCTGTAACTTTACGTGGTCTGACACTTCGTGTCTGAGTTGCTGTGGTTCCTGAACGCTTCCACTTTTCAGTAATACCACTCATAGTTAATCATGGAACATCTAGGAGGGATGAAATTTCACCAATTAACTTTTTGCAACAGTGGCATCCTATTACAGCACCACGCTCGAATTCAGTGAGCTCTTTAGACCCATTCTTTCACTAATGTTTCTAAAGGCAGGCTGCATGGCTGGGTGCTGATTTTATACACCTATAGCAGTGGGACTGAATGAAACACCTGGATTCAGTCATTTAAGAGGCGTGTCACAATACTTTTCTCTGTATAGCGTAAAAGGCGCCTTAATGTAACAGCTGCACCATTTATGATAGATTGGAAAAATTTTAATAAGCTGGCAAAAAAGAAACCAGCTCCAGCTTCATCATGTTTTATTTAGATTTGAATTTTGGTCTGCATTTCTGTTGGTTTTAGTATAATGCTTTAGAATTTTCTGAACTTGAGAGGTTTGTAGATCATACAGGTCCAGTCCACCAGTCAAGCTAATCTTCTAATCGTAGTGTTTTCTGTCTAAAGTGTCCACATATCTCTTCATCTTTTTTTACGGTCATTCTGGTCTGTTTTGCTTGGTCTTTGTCCATCTGCAGCAGCGGTGATGAGATGACCTCTGTCAGAGTTACAGCTTCCCTACCAAAATGGTGGCAGAGTGTTTATGATTATTGTGATTATTATTAAGCTGTATCCATTATTGGAGTGAAACCATTGTTTTGTTGTTAATCATGATTAACTATTATAACAGGGTTAGTATAAACTAAAAAAAATGAGAGTATATGGGATCAGTGCACTCTCAGAAATAAAGGTACTAAACTGTCACTGGGGCAGTTCCCCTCTTGTCACTGGGGTGGAACCCTCAAGGCTCCATCTCAGTACCTTTAGTCAGGGAACATAACTGAACCATAATCCACTGAAATGATATGTTCTAAGCTGTACTGACTCCACACACCCCGTCTCGTCTCCAGGCTTTTATTTTACTGTTCTGTTTAAAACATTCGGTTATGAAAAGGTACAAATACGAACTTTTCACCTGGAAAAACTTATTTAAGGTTCACAATCAGACCTTAAAACCACTGTTGGAGCTTTGGGGGAACATTTACACTGTTTGTACCTTGATGAATGAAAAATGTACCTGAACAGAACCTTCATTTCTAACTGTGTGCACATATGAACAATCTTAGTTTCTGTACCAGCCTTTACTGATAACGTTTTTCTGCTTATTTCTCGTGCAGGTGGTTCGAGCTGGCCACGAACCCGTACACAGGATTACAGGACTGGCTCTACACTGGAGGTTACTTTGATAGGAAATACACAGACTGTCCCGATATCTACTGACAGGGGACCAGCGTTCTGGAGTGCTCTCACTTCCTGCCCTACCCAGTGCCCCTCCACCAAGCATCATATCGTAAACATCAGGAACTGATGTAGCAACACTAGCTGTTTCTTCATCACTGCCCAATCAACCATACAAACATCTTGTGATTTAGGGAAACATCCATTAGTAATTCGGTCCATAGCAATAGCGAAATCAGGGATTTTGAGCGCTCATTCGAATGAGGTGAAAGGGGAGGAGAGGAACACTTTGGAGAAATTTAGGATTTTTTTTCCCAAATAAAATGGGCTTTTTTTGCTGCAGGAGCACTTCACAGCACTTCAGACCAGCTTATTGTTCAAACACGAGAAATGTACAGAAGATGAGAAGACAGACTGAGACTCAGAGAATTGCCTTTTTCTCTGCCTTAGAACTGCGTCTCTGCGCCCCTGCCTAATTTTACTTTCTCCCTACTGCCGTCAGACCTGCAGCAGCGTCTGTTGTCATCAAATACTTTCACCTTTCCCAGTTCATTACTGCCTGCATTCTTTTTACGACTGGTGGCTCATCACAAGTATTGCATTTCTCCACATTGGATAACACTGAGCTGCTAAAAATGCAGCTGCTCACCATTAAAGTAGCCCAGTATGAAATCATGTTAGTTAATCCTAGTGGACTGACAGTGGACTCTTCCTCATGTGTGAATGTGTGAAGCCATACCATCTTCAACTTAAGGTACCATTTGTTGCCCCCAGGGTTTCAAGAAAAAAGTATTGAAATGATAAACATGATGAAACATCTTTTTTCTGTTTACTGAGGGTGAAATCTGCATTCCATATGCCTCATGATTCAAAATATCCCAGTCAGCATCAGAAATGTAAAAGAAAAAGTCCTCAATCCTGTCATGCCTTAATAGCTTTCGTGTTTTATTTGTCAAATTCTCTGCAGGTTTGTTTTACCACCATCACTCTTCTATAATATGGCAAGTTCTTTCACTTAAGTGTAGTTGTGTTTGTCCCCTAGTGTTTTTCCAGCTGAGCACCTAACTCACTCTTCATATTGATTATTGTAAAATATCACCAGTCACATCATATTCACCACTAAACCCAAACTTACAAAGACACACACACTGTGCACTTGTAACAGCAGTCAGAAACTATGCAAACTATCACACAGCTCAAATCCCGGTGTAGTAAGATGTACCTGTGTAGTAGATGGTCTGAATGTAGATGTGCATATAGTTTAGTCTTGATGAAGAAGAACCCTAGAAGTCTAGAATGACAGTTTATGTGACTGTAAAGCTCCAGCAATGTACCATCTTAGCTAATAGCCTTCCCCCTCAGTGCCCACATGCATTTGTGTTTATAATTACGTTGATCATTCCCCATCATAAACCTTACTCTGCTTTAAAAACAATTAATTTCATGATTTTTCTGAATCACATGAGCTCTAGCTGCGATTAGTGCTGCAGATCGTTAAAAGTAACCGAGCGCATTTTGGAAGCACAGTGATGATAGAATTTCATTTTATTTTAAAGATTCAGATCAGTTTTCTTTCCCCTCAGTGCCTGAAATACAGAATTGTCACTAATACTTGACCATTTTATTAAGTTTGTCTTTCACTCAGTGTCATGGGTGTTTTTAATATTCGTTAGGACCTTTTTTTTGTCCGTTTGTCTCTCTCTGGCTAACCAAATTTCACTTTCATCTTTTTCTGTGTGAATAACGATTTAAAGAACTTCAACGTCAGCAAGAATGTCGGCACATTTTCACAAGCTGTATGATGTACACGTGTACAGTTCATCACACTACTTGATTGCATCCATTAATATAGTTGCTCATTCATTTAAATGTACATTTGATTATTTGAAAGCTAGCAATATAAAAACTAATATACAACATTAAAATATAGATTTTATTTGCCTTTGTGTGGATTCATTTTGTAAGTTCAGTGTTTTACCATTTACTCACTTGTGCATCGTGTTCCTGTGTACAGATGCCTTTATGTTGTTCCAGATGTTGCACATATGTTTAGTAATCACGAACACATAGCTTATTATTTTGTGCAATGATTTATTTTTATAGTATTTAAATACTTTTTTGTCGGTGAGAAATGATTAAAAACGTTTTATTTTCAGTTGGGGGTTAATTTTTTTGACTTAATTTCCATTAAAATTTGAAAGGAT